GAAGAGAAAAGCCACTGCCCACATGGAGCCTGTGACAAAAAGAGTTTTCTCCAGTGGAGGCTGCTTCCCCCAACACTCAAAGGCAGAAAAAAGGGGATTACATAGGAGATCCTTATGAATTCTGGTTGGGTCCCCAGAACGTGAACACATTGTCATTGGACATAAGCCCTGACATTGAAAAACCCTCTGTAGCGCTAACTAGAAAAAACACAATTTGGGCAAAGTTCTCAGTTGCACAAGAGTAATGAACAGAGGAAGACTATGAAGATGCCAAGGGGAGACCAGAGGCCAGCAGCAGCGTGAGGATAGGGGTCATCTGCCCCCAGCCTGCAAAACCCCCTGGAGCCCCGGGACTGGCCTCTGGCAACCTCCCAGGCTCCCACAAAAGGTTAAGCCATGGACTGCAAACTTCTGGATACTGGAAAACGAACTAACCTTCAGCAAGTTCCCCAAACACAACAACATACCTCAGTCACTGGACAGCAGAAGCCCTGAGTTCCCAGCCAATCCTGATGGCCCTGCTAAGGCACCTGACCTCTCTGCATCTCTCGCCCCAGCCCTGCGCTAAAGTGGAGAGACCAATGCTTTGATAGCAAATGATCTCTTTGGTTCATCTCATTCCAGCAGCCTCTCATTCTCCTGGCTCGATAATTCCAACCCAATTTCATGTAAAATCTTCACTACAGATTTCATTCTGGATGCTTCTACCATATAGATTATGTATCCAGTGGACGCCATAGCTATCTTATTTTAGGAAGGGAAGAGAATCAGATTTCAGGGAGATAAACTAAAATTTGAATCTCAACAGTACTCAATACCAAGTGAGGGTTAGGCTAAAAGTACTTGGCTTTTGAGCACAGATCTTAAATCCTTCATTTGCTCATAGGTAAATGGGAATAGTAATAGCCTCACTTGTGGGGCAGTCAGGAACAGTAAATAAGTACACAAAGCACTTAGAACAAAATGACAAAGCATTCTAGGTTTAAGTAAAAACATAATCAAAAGCAACTCATTACAAAATACACCCCAAATTGAAGGGCGCAGGAGGCAGTGGGAAGCTGACCTGGAATGATGCCAAAACCCAGTTCTGACTTCTAGCAGCTCCCAGTGACCAGCCACTGGGCCCCAGCAAGGCCCCATGAGCAGCACCTTCTCAGCTGTCCCTGCTCTGCCACTCACCGGCCCAGCTCAGACCAGGGCTGTGGGCTCCCTCCTCTCCGCCTGCAGCCCCTCCTACTTCCAGGATTCCCTACTCCAGACACGGGGCTCCATTTCTAATATTCTGCAATAAGAATATTCTCTTCAGATGGCCTCAATAGCCTGGGTATCTGAGTAGTTTGTATCCCCAGCTAAAATTATAAGTGTTTTTCATGAAAATAATTATACTGTATGTCACTTAAGCTAATTTAGTTTGACAGATTATTTTGGAGGATTCCTTGGAAAGTAACATTTCCTAAAGAATTAAATTTTTTTGTATGTTTTACAAATCTATAAAGCATTATAACCACAAAAAAATGACAAGTGTTTTTGGCCTAGAGTTCAAAACTCTTGAGCTACTGACCCCTCGCCTATGTTTCTAGTCAGACTGTGGTCACGCATGGTGGTGTCTCACACCCGGCTCAGGTGCCACCTCCCAGGCCAGGCATCTCCCCTGTCAGGTTAGGGTAGTGGTCTAAAACTCCTCCCAGGTGGAGTTCCCACTCACAGAGCATTTATCTCTGCTGAAGAAAAAGCAGAGGGAGCGCTTGGAAAATGTTTTAATCCCTGCTCTGCTACTTGTTAGCTGAGTTTCCCTGGATGAGAAATGAAAACCTCTGAATCTGTCTCACTGTGGCTATGAAGATAAATAGGGATACTATATGGGAAAAGCTTGGCTTAGGTGGTCTTCACCCTCCTTCCTTGTGGAATTTATTAGTTTTCTAAGTTTGATTACATTTAGACTTATACGTTTTCTTCCTTAGCCTCCTTGAGGGCAGTATTTTTGTCCTTCTCAAAGGACCTGGCACAAGATCTTACTTTCAGTAGAGCTAAAAAAAAAAAGTGTTTTATCGTCTTTATGATATTTTAATCATTCTCTTTTCTAACCTGTCATATTGTTAATGACAATCACTGTCCCACAAATTTAGTACAGATATCCAGGGGTTCTGAGGGGGAAACTCCAATTTTGTCTTCAATGATTTTTTTTCTATCTATTCAATTTTTTAAGTTTTCTACTGGTTCTTTCTGATAACATCTGGCTACAGAAGATATTGTAGCTGACACTATGTGGCCTATAGAAAGACAGAATTCCTACTCCCAAATTCAACCAGTAGCACAACAAGGACATTTTTACAAGCCTCATAAATTTAACTGACCGGGGCATTTTGTTTTTCTTTAACAAAAAAAAAATTGAAAATCACCATCCTGAAGAGGAATATATTATTCATACCAGTTTAAGTAGTGACAGGAAAATATTCGGTACTCAAAATGGAATGAAAAAATAAAAAAAAAAAAACGGTCAGCATGAATTTCCAAAGGCATCTGGAAAATTGGCAAAAGAATTAAGAATGTGAAAAGCAACTGGTGATCCCAGCTGGGGTGAAATTGCCTTCGTGTGGAAACTCTGAATAGAAGATAAGCTCTGAGATTGATTGCTTGATGCATTTTCTTTATACATGATATCAACCCTAAGACTGTTTCAGGAATTCCCAGAGAAAATCCTTTGGAAGGTTCATTTACATAGTGATTCTGATTTAATCAGGGGAAAGAACACCTCCAACTTGTCCCCAGGCTCCCTAACAAGCTTTCAGTTAAACTAGTTGATTTTGCATTGAGAATAACAAGAATCCAGGAAGAAATGTGACTTAAAACAGAAGCTAAGTCTAAGTCAAAAGACTCAGATGCCACTGTGCAAGCCCTGATTCGCCAAAGAGAGACCAGGCTCAGCATATCAGCTCTGGAATTGGCCAGAACTGAACTTGAACTCATTTCCACTCAGTTTCTGATTTGGAGCACATAAGTGACCCAAGCTGAGCCCCATCACTCAAGCAGCAAAGCCAAGATCATGCCCTGAGAGCATGCCACACTCACGTGCCTGCGCCTCAATGGATCCTGAATACCCTATGGGCCAGAAGGAGCTGCCTCTCAGACCAGAACCGCAGCTCACCAGCTGTGTGACCCGCCGCAAGCCACCCACCCTTCTGCTCACACACGGCAGGGGCAGCGTAGCGGACATGCACGAATGGGAGAACTTGAGTCCTCCAGCACGTGCTTGCAGGTCAGGCTTCGCCCTGGCTTGAGCTCTGCATGGGTTCTATCCTGGCAGAGCAGGGCTATGCCATCCCTAAGTAGCTACATCATCCTGACCTGTGTGGTTCATCTCTCTAGATTATCACTCTGTCTATAAAACAGGGGATACAGGGCCCTCCCTGGTGGCGCAACATGTAAAAGCACAGCCCTAGGAAGCTATCCTCATCCACTGGAATATGAGCTCAATCCCTGGCCAGGGAGGTGACCCACTTGGCATGGCAGACCTCTCCCATCTGGCCTGCTGCTCCCCTCTGCAGTGTATTTCAGTCAGTCTGCCTGTCCTGCTCCCTACTCTGTCTCTGGTGAATTGCTTACCTCCCTGCACCTCTAGCCTATACCCCAGTTCTTGTCTGCATAAATAAATAATTTTTAAAAATAAAAACAGGGGCTACAGTCATACACACACATACAGTCCCATCTAACTCTACAATTCTACTTAACAAAAAAAATCCCATCCTCTGGTAAGCAGGGCAGACATTGGAACACCTTATAGTTTTTAGTCATTTGTTGCCAATCACTATCCAACATCTTGAAAATTCTCCATGGACCCTGAACATAGGCCAGTGTGCTTGGCAGAAGCTTAAGGATAGTTTAGACACATCCATTATATATCCATTCCTCCAAAGCAACCAGGCCAGTGTATCAGTCACCCGTAAAATCCATCCAGGACCACCAATCTTCCCCCAAGGTTAAAGCTACCTTGAACTCTGGGGGTGACGTCCCATAGCTGGCACTACAGTGACCTACAAGAAAAACTCCCTTTTCTCTGGGGCTAGGGGAGCTCTCCTACTATATGACCAGACCCTGAATTCACTCCCCTGCCATGGGCTAAATCGACAAGGAAAGCATCTGAAAAAAAGTAGGAGACCACAGGTGAGATCCAAAGTCACAGATGTTGTGACCACATTGTTCTCAGTCTCTTCTCCAACAAGGAAAAGGCTTCAGACAGATAACAGCTGACAAGGACACCCAGGTCAAGAGTTTCCTTATAAATAAAACTTTCAAATTCATGGCCATTAACACTCACCCGAAATAACTGGACAAGGGCCAGGCAGGAAAAGGGCACGTTACTAAAACCAGGCCTCCAATCTCCAGGAGGCTCAGAAAAATTATTCTTGCTGTGAGGAGAGAGGAAGGAAGATCTGGTTATTGTGCCAGCGTGCTGGGAGGCACAATAACTAGGTCACGTTCCCACTCAGGCCTGGATAAAGTCACTTGGTGGTGGCTGGTGGCTCTAGGCAAAGCCCAGAGTCTCTGCTCTCACTCCCCATGGAGCCTGAAGACAGCACTTCTGGCCACACCCACCACAGCAAGCAATATCAAGATGTTTCCAGACTCCTCGCTGTCCTAAAGATCTGGTCTCAAGAACAGGAGGCAAACAGCCCTCCATCTAAGCCCAGATCTCAAGCTTGCACGACACAAAAGTTGCATGTAGCACAAGCATGCAACAGCCACCTAGCTCCTCCCAGAGTCCCTGCACTTCCTCCACCCACCCACCCCCCCACACACACGTACTCTGTGTGACACAATCCCTAACACCAGAGTGGATGTGTTACGATGCATCGCCAGCATCCTGGACAATGAGCTCCTTCTCTGCCGAGTCCACTCTGTCTCTAGGTCCTACCCAGTGAAACCACACAAGCCAGAACCACCTTCAGTGAAGTGCGGTGCCTCCTAGTCAGCGTGCTGGAAGATAAATTATACAGACTTACTGTTCCTCGCGAATGAAGTTGCAAGTCTTAGCTCTGTCCAGCATTCATAAAGCACTTACTTGCCTCCACCAATCAAGTTTTTAACAAGTGCACTAATATGACTGGGGAACACCGCATTATGCTCACATGCCTGCCGTGTCTCATGACTTCCTCTGGGTGTGATATTTCTCTTTTCAGAGCACCAAACCTTCATGTTGGCACAGTACATCTGAAAAATTGCTGGAAACTCTAGCCCTAGGGAGTCACAGAGCTGTTTTTGAGCACCTAAGAAGCACTGCAATTGTGCATGGTGCACAATTTATTAATTTAAGAGGCACATTAGATGAGATGTGTTTTTGCTTTTGCTTTTAACCTCTGCAATTAGCTGATCAGCAACGCTTATTGTGCCGTTAACAGAGTCCCTGACAGAAACACAAACTCTGAGGCTGCCAAAAAAAAATGTTCCCTGGGAAAAGGCACACTGGCATGGTCCAGATCTTTCTTCTCCTCTGCCTTTAATCAATTGTACCTGACACCATTGATTTGCAGACAGAGAGTCTAGAATATAGAGTCTGGGAAAGTGAGAAAACCCTTCAGTTTTAAAGCTGACTCAGGTAAAAATCCACAGTAACAAAGGCTTAAAATTGTCCCCTTCCCAAAACAGAGAGGAAAACCACCCAGTGTCCTCAAAACAGTCTTCCAGAAGATCCGGAAGAAGCCGCTGGATGCAGACTTCACTGGAGCGTGGATAGCTCCTGATAGTCGCTGCCCCAGAAATCCCCTCAAGGCGCACAGAGCACAAGCCACATGCAAGATGCTACGAGGCAGGTGCTTCTAGAGAGACACACTGGACAGACATCGCTGAGGATTCTCCTTGCCCACAGGAGCCTACAAATCCTCACTCGCTCATGCTAGTAGAGAAGGGAGGCAGGTAGGAAAGTCCTCTTTTTTAAAATATACAGAATATTTCAGAACTTCCATTCTAATAGATGATTACTAGCATTTTCTGAGCATGTATTATGCCATGATAAAATATACACATATGACTTTAGTAAGCTAAAATCTATACATTTAGATTTTTTTAAAAGTTATGATATATTACATCTATAGTGTCTATAGGTGTCAAAGTAAGGAAGAATATCACTATTTTGAAAGCAGTAAGACTTACAAAATGAAATGTGTAAAGGTAAGGTTATATTCTGAGTGCCTTATTTTATTAAAGCATTAAACTATTCTATTATATGTAGATTTTGCATGCAATTTCTTCTGAGGTTAATGATTAGCATAGAAAATCTAGAAAATACAGCAAGGCAAGGAGAAAATTAAAGTCATCTGCATCCATCAATGAGTAGAGTTACTATCACTGATGAACATACTTCCCACCCTCTCCCTATGCCTATAATTACAAATGTTCCTCCACAAAATTGGGATCATGCTATTTTGATCACTTATTTTTATTTAAACACTATACCCATGTCCTTAAATAATATTCTGTATCATGATCTAATGCAGATAGAACATCCCATTCTATTGATGGGCCATGACTTATTGACAAATTTTGTACCATTAAATAAGTGGCTTATGACTGTCAGCTACCAAGATGACACTAGTGCATGGCTAGGTGATAGGGAAGTCACTGAGAGGATAAACAGATATTTTCCCTTGAAACTTTACTGAGATATACTTCACAATTCACCAATTTTAAATGTCTTTTGCAGAATCGTGTATCAATCACAATAATCAATTTAAGAACATTTTCATTATCTCCCCCCAAAAAACCACCCTGTTCTCTTTAGCAGTCATTCTCCATTATTCCTCAATCCCCCTCCCCTTCTATCCCTAGTCCTAGCCAACCATTGATCCACTTTCTGTCTCTATGGACTTGCCTAGTCTGGACATTTCATACAAATGGAATCATATTACATGGAGATTTCTGTGATTGGCTTATGACATAGTCTGATGTTTTCAAGGCTCAATCATACTGTAGCATAATATCAGTACTTCATTCCTTCTTATGGCCAAATATTACAGCATCATGTGGATAGGCAACAGTTGGTCAATAATATTTAGGTTATTTCTTTTTTCTGGCTATTATGAATAATGCTCTGTGAACATTCCCGTACAAGTGGCCACTTATTTGCATGAACACCTAAAATTTTTTTCATTTTTCTTGGGTACGTATCAAGAATAGAATTGGTAGCTCATACAGTAACTCTATTTTAATCTATTCTTGAACTGCTAGACAGTTTTCTAAAGCAACTGCATGATTTTACATTTCTACCAGCACTGTAAGGAAGGAGGGGACACAGGGGGGCCCAATTTCTCCAGCTCCTCACCAACACCTGTTATTATCTGTCTTTTTATTATAGTCATCCTACCAGGTGTGAAATAACAGCTCATTGTGGTTTTGCTATGCATTTCCCTGATGGCTAATGATGTTGAACATCTTTCATGTGCTTATTGGCCATTTGTTTATCTCCTTTGGAGAAATGTTTATTCATATATTCTGCTCATTTTAAATAAGACTGTCTTTTAATTATTCAGTTGTGGTTTTAAACATACTTTAGATACAAGTCCATCATTTGATTAAAATAAGTAAAGAAATCCCCATTCTGTAAGTTGTCTTTTCACTGTTTCATTTTTGAAACACAAAAGCTTTTAGTTTTGATGAAATACAATGTACTTTTTAAAACTGTGTTGCATGTGCTGCAGGTGTCCTAAGAAAACACTACTTATTCCAAATCATGAGAAGTTACACCTCTTTTTCCCACAAGCTTAATGGTTGTAAAGTTAAGTCCTTGATCCATTTTTGAGTAAACTTTTATTTACCACGTAGCAATCTAAATCCACTCTTTGGCATGTGGAGATGCATTTGTCCTAGCACCATTTTTTGAACAGACCACTTTCCCCACACTGAACTGTCTTAGCATCCCTGTTAAAAATCAATAGACCATAAACGTGAGGGTTTATTTCTGGACCCTCAATTCTAATCCATTGATCCATATGTCTGGCTCTATGCCAGTACCACAAGTCTGAATACTACAGCTTTTAGTAAGTTTTGAAATCAAGAAATCTGAGTACTTCAATTATGTTCTTTTTAAAAACTGTTTGAGACACTTAGGGTCCTTTGCATTTCCATGTTAATTTGGGGATCAGCTTGTCAGTTATTACAGAAAAAGAATTACTAGGATTTTGATGTTAGGTTGAATCTATAGATAAATTTGGAAACATTTGCTATCTTAACAACGGGCAGACTTGGACTCATGGATACAGCATGTCTTTCCATTTATTTAGGTCTTCATTAATTATTTCAATGACATTTTGTAGTTTGCAGTGTACAACTCTTGCTCTTCTTTGGCAATATTTATTCCTAAATATTTTACTCTTTTTGATGTTACTATAACTGGCTTTGTTTTCTTAATTTCATTTTTTGGATAGTTCAAAGTCAACAAATGTCTTTATATATTGCTCTTTGTAGCCTAAATTCTTGATGACCTCATATATTAGTTCTAATCCCTTTTTAAAGGATTCCATAGGAGTTCCATTTTACAAGATCATGTCTCAGAACAAAAACAGTTTTATGTCATCCTTTACAATCTAGATGCCATTTATTTCTTTTTCTTGCCTAACTGTCCCAGCTTGAACCTCCAGTACAATATTGAATAGAAATAGTAAAAACAGGCATCTTAATCTTGTTCCTGATCTCATAAGAAAACATTCGTTCTTTCACCATCAAGTATGATATTAGCTCTGGAGCAAAATTACTAAATGCATTTGTTATGAAAAGATTAAGGAGGTTATTTTAGTGTTATAATCATTCTTGAGAGGTCCTAAGTATGCCCACGCTCCAATGTGCAACTCCCTCAATATTTATTCCTCTAACAGAATTTCACTGTTCTTTGTATTTGTACTAGGGAGGAAAGGAACAGTAAAATGTGAAAAAAAAGAAAATCTCTTCTTGAATCTAAAGTTCAAAAAGACTTGAAATGGATCCTCATGAAAGTGAATGCCTGTGTCTGATGAAACAAATAACTGCTCATATAAAACCCAAGCAGTAGGCATTACGTTAACTCAATTTAACATTTCCCTGAGTTGTCAGTCATTCAATTCGCTGCTGAAGGGAAGACTTTATTCAGAGCATGCTCTGAAATGCTATGTAAATTTTCCTGTTTGAATATCCCCGAGTTCTCATCCTGCTGCTCACCAAAAGTGGTTCTACCACAAAAGACTCTTTAGAACTAAAAAAAATTGAATACATATTCTAAGTCTGTAAATCCTTGAACAAAGAGGGTTTTGGCAGTTAATAGATTTGATTATTTAGTCACAAAAATTCTTTAGATCAAAAACTACTCCCTGAAAGCTCTATGACCTGGTTTGACCCAAAAAAAGAAAAAAAAAATTACACTGCAACATCTTGATTAATTGGTATACATAGACACAACATAGATACAACATCTTGGTTAATTTGGATATATACATACATATATAGAGGAAACTACCTAAACTTTAAAACACCTGACTTCAGGGCCCTCTCTGGTGGCACAGCGGGTTAAAGCACAGCTCTGAGAAGCTTGAGTCACTTCCGCATGAGTTCAATCCCAGCCTGCCCCCGGGGAGATCCACATGGCGAGGCAGACCTCTCCTGACCCGCCAGCTGCTCCCCTCAGCAGTGTACTTCGTCGATCTGCCTGTTCTGCTCCCCACTCTGTCTCTGGTGAATCCTCTCTCACCCTCTGCATCTCTGGCCTGTACCCCAGTTCTATATGAATAAATAAATAAATCTTAAAAAAAAAAAAAAACCTGGCTTCAAATCCCACCTCTTTTCATTCTTAGCTGTGCATCTCTGAGCAAATTACTTACCTCTCTGTGCAAACTGTATTATTTTTAAAAGTAAAAACTGTCCTGCAGGTGTATGAAGATTACATGGCTTATTTTTCATGCAACACCTGCAATATAGCAGGTAACAGTGGTAGTAGTAGTAGTAGCAGCAGTAGTAATACTCAATTAATTCATTCATGAAATACAGAATTAAGAGTTTGTTATCATGATTTTGGTTTGCAAACAG